AGTTCGATTTTTAATCGGCTTTGCGAAGAGGAGATGGGCAGAAATTAAATTCTGACGGGAGTATGCAAAGTACTGTGTCAAGTGTACGTCAATTTTTGTTCAAGGAAAACTTAAAAAGGTGTCGTTCACACAGAATGAAAAAGGCAAAAGCCTGCTGCTCCTCTACAAAGTTTCATCTGCGAGCGAGCGCGATGATAAGGTCCTCTGCATCTGCTTAAACTGCATAACTCGGACTTCAAAGCTTAGCGTAGAAAGTTAAAAATATTCTCAAACGTTTTCTTATCACTACAAAAAAAAATTTATCATTTGTGCCTTCAAATTCAGAGCTTTTTCCTAAAAAAAAAAAAGATTAAAAGGCAACTAAAGTGGATCAGAGATAAGTTGTTAATTACCATTAAGCCGAGATAATGACGGAAAAAGAGAGAGAGCGACAGCCCGGGAGACAGACAAAACCAAGGAAAAAGACAGAGAGAGAGAGAGAGGGAGAGAATGAGAGATAAGGTGAGAAAAAGGAAGGAAGAAAAAGCGAAAGAAATAAATATAAACAAAGCGGAATACGTAAATATGGATTCCACAATGCATCGCCACTCTCTGCTCCAAACACCATTGCCTTGCGAACATGAGTAGCTATGGCTTGGCGCACTGTGTTTCGAACCCACGAACTTTGATTTGGCACTCGCGGGTCTTATCCCCTCAGGGATGCGGTAGCCCACATACACACAATATATGACGCACACGATACGATAGATAAACGTATATAAACAAATGAGTCTATTGCAAGCATCTCACGGGCTAGTGGGTAGTAATATATTCAGGCTTTTCTTTTTTATTTTGACTTGAACAAGAAGTGGTAGGCAATTAGCATAGTCCTGGAGCTAAAGGATGTGTTATTCAGCTTTCCCAATTTGATATAGTTCTCGCAAAAGACAACCGCATTATATTCAGCCAAACAGTTGATTAGATGCATATCAAATGGATTGACGGTTAAGAGCGTTAAAAAAGTTGTCTAATGTTGTTCTAAAATTGTTCAAAAAACGAAAAAAGGAATTTTGAAAATGTAAGACAGATTTTCTCAGAGCCGTGTAAGTATGTGTAGTATGTTAGAAGTTCTTTTTGCGTTCTTAACACACAAAGCCTTTGTCAAACTTGCCCTATTTTGCATCTTATAGGAGAAACCGTAAATGGCTCGGTTTTTTGCTTTCATTCTTAAAGCTTAATTCCCTTCCATACAGCGATAGTTAGTTATACGGTCAAAACAAACATTAAAGGCAAACCTGTGTGTCTCTGATAAAACACATTCATACACACATACACACAAACACATACAAACGCAGAGTCATTCACACTATTCACGCCGACAAGCAACGGTATGAAAAGTAAATAAACGCGAACCCAAACAAAATTCTCTTACGGATCCCCTTACGAGCTCGAAATGTCATATTGTCATAAAACTGTCACATTTTGTGCATAACTTTACGACTGCCATGAAACGCAACAAAATGTATATTTAAGATTGTATGTTATGGTTAAATGTATTTATTTTTTTATTTACATCTTTGTTTTTTTCTTTTTTCTCAATTTTTTTTCTTTTTTTTTGCAGAAAAAGTTGCGCAGACTAAAGGCAACAAAATACAAAAAGCTGTTTATTTAAATATACGAGTTTTGTGTGAATTTTTGATTGCATGCATTTTTAGACAAATCCTCGTCTATCTTAAAGTTAACTGAGAAAAAACATTAAGCTCATTTCAAAAGCATTTAAGCAGCAATGAATGCGTAGTAAAAAAACAACAACAAAAAAAATAAAAAATAAATAAATAAAATAAAATTTATTAGAAAAGCGATTAATATAAGATTAATTTAATTTAAAAAATTCATTAAGTTTATTACACAAAGAAAAAAATCATGAGATTTTAAACAACTTAGAGGTTTTTAGTTGGTCAAGGTCAATCATTAAATACGCTACATTAATTCGTAACGACTTTTTTTTGACATGTAGCGTGTTATGGAACACATTAGTTAGAAAGCTTCGATTCTATTCATTCTCAATAGAATTTGTCAAACTTGGGCCAAAACTTGTAGGTATACCAGATTTGTTTATAGTGGGATAAGACGCACAGATACGATTGAAATCTTTCAGATTAATTTGATTAACAAAATAGAAACGAATCTCAAGTCATTCTTGCATCGCGAGTTGTCTGTGAGTTGAACATAAAGGTATATGGACAGATACCAGATACCGATCATATGGACATAAGGGCAGAAAAGCTTAAACCCTTTCCAAAAATCATTGTGAATCCATTCGTATAATAAAAGATATGGTTTGTTTAAGCCGTCTTTGCGCCTCGCTAGATATATGTAGGTTGAACGCAAAAGCATAAAGACAGCTATCACAGAGACGGACAGACGTGCTGGAGTGTTAATTTATAAAATAAAAGATGGGTCCTTTTCATTTGGTTTTTGTATCTGCGGCGGACAGCCACTGAGGTGTCAATCCTTTCGAAAAAATATTGTGAATCGATTACTGCATTGGAAAATGAGTTTATTTCAAATTGTTATTAAGAAGCTGGGTACATGGACAGATATCAATCAGACAGACAGACAGTTAGGTTTCCATTGTTTCGAGAAATCGTCTTGAAACGATCGATCATTCCCAAGTTTTTGTCATATACATACATCAAGTATTATCAGACGTAATAAGATAAAATCAAAACATCAGATTTTTAGATTAAATGGAATCTTGGAATATTCATTAACTTTTATCTCTTAAACGCTTTACGAACGGAAAGAAAATATATTTGACAGCGCACTAACTGTAAGATAAATAGGAATATGTTATTACATGTATGTGCGGTAATTCCGCTGGCTCACACATTTGATGTCATATGAAATTCATTGCAAACATGGAAAGCATAATCTGACAAGAACGCAACTCATAACGTGCGTACGCTGATCTACGGGGAGTAATATGTAAACACGCAAAAGTTAAGAGGTAGATTTCTGGTTTCAAAATTTTCACTCATTGTAAGCGAAGTAGAATTGGTTTTCGTAGACATAGTTTGAACGGTTTGGAAGATTTATGCCGGCTTAGCTATGTTTTTGCTAAAAAAAAATTTATATTAAGTAATTTAGAAAGTATTAACCTTTTTACTGTAAATATTTGCACTTTGTCTCGAATGTTACCTTAAAGGAGAATTAATATAGAATGAACACTTTCTATATGTATATACAAGTCGAATTTATATGTATATAGCTCTTAAGGTATTACAAAACTGTGTATATATATACATTAATACCTCTTGCGCAAATTTGATATTCATACTAAAGGCAATGTTTTCTGTTTGTGTATTTCTCTGTTTAATTATTAACGTCATATAAAGTTAACATATAGTTCATAGAAATATGCTGTATTGTTTTAATAATATTAGTCTTGTACTACGTATCGTTTTTTATAGTTTCTCTTGGAAAAACGTCTGCCTTGTTTGCGCGCAAAACTTTTTTTACGATTCTTATCTCATTCATGACTGAGTCAGTCATAACATTCTTTCAATAACGAATGCGTTTATAAGACAAGGTAAGCAAGGTAGCCGGGGACCGGAAGACTGAAGAAAAAAGTGCGGCAGAGAGAGAAAGACAGAATAAAAAATGAAAGGATCTCACTTAATTTGTATTGAATATATGATAGTTGCTAAAGCATAAAATCTTTTGAGTAGGCCTTCTTTCATAGATTCAACGTAAATCCTGTAAATATTGATACCAAGTGAAAACAATTATATGCAAGAGTGAACGTGCATTTTTACATCTACCCCGAAAAGTATAGAGCGCGTCACGTATGACAAAACATTAGTGTCAGATATTTTATAATTTATTTCATAGCGATGGTAAACGATATGCTTAGCTTGAAAGATGGCGGAAGATCATTGAAGAAAATGGTACTATACACGTAATATATGTTTAATATTACCCACTCAAAGGCAAGTATTCTTTTAGCACCCGCTTACTTTATGACCAATAAAAGAATTTTATTAAAATTTCAGTTTTCTAATCATGTCCTTCTAATACTTTACATCCATTTTCTAAATTTCTGATGTTATTTAACTTATTGACCGCTGAAATTATTTTTAAGGAAAAATATTTGGGTTTTAATTATATACTTATGCAATATAATCATTGTCTTTACATCTTTTCAAGCAAACTTTGCTTGTCTCTCGCAAAGATAAGGGAAACATAATGCTATCGAATGAATTTAACAGGAATTCAATATTGCGCTCTTAACCGTTTTCAAAATGTATTTATTTCCCTATATAGAATACATTTGATGTATTGAAATCACGCGCTTTTTATATGAGCATTAATAAAGTGTAACGATTAATTGTAACTGTTAAAATTGATAATATGGAACTTTCAAGTTGATTGAATTCATAGTACATTCAAGTACTTGAAGTTTTTATATCATGCATGCATATAAATGAAGAGTTCATCTCATTGAAGTTTTGTGTGTTTGTCTGTTAACATTTTTCCGTAGTTGAGTGGCAACACATTTCTCAAGCTAATAGAATAAATGAATTGATTAAGTATATCAAAAACGTTAGGATACTGATATAATTATAACATATCTGAATAATAGAAAGTGATATAATAAAAAAAAATATATCCCATGTTATAAATCATTAATTTGCTACTTGCTTGCAACTATTTACAGTAACATTTTATATCTCATGCAATATGTACTTCGTTGCACTATGCTTACACTCTCTTGAACTAACTTGAAAACTCTTTCTCTCATTTCAACTCTCTGTTAAATAACAGTTTCTTTACATAAATTCGTCCCAAGTAAACAACTAATAACATTCGGCGACTTTTTTTTTTTTTTCTTGCATACATATAACATCAAGACCGCCACCATGAACAACAATCGAAAAGCAGCAGCAATATCGTATTGGAAAAATGCTCAAGCAAAGCAACAAACAGTTGTAGTTGTATTTTAGTTTAGTTGTAAAATATACTCAAATGCGTGAGGATGTTGAAAACGGATAACTTATAATCGTTCATCATAACGTACACGTTTGTATACAAACGAAAATAAAAGAAAAACTAACGAAATTAATTTAATTGAATATTAGAAAAAAAAAAATAAATAAATAAATAAAAATGAAAATTAAAAGAACTAAAGACAAAATAAATAATAATCAATAAATTGTATTTAGTAACTTAACAATTATTTAGCAAAGTTGATGCTAAATAATATAAAAAAAAAAAAAATATGGAAGTCTTGCATGGTTTTCTCCAATTAACGTAATTATCCCATATACTCGTACGTGAATGTGTTGAATGTGTTGACATCCAGTTAGTTCTATACACACTAATTATAGTGCAATTATCTACTATGAAAGCCAAATAAACAAAAGATTTAAGGGGGGAAAAAAGCAATACTAAAAAAAAGGAAAAGGAAAGGAATTCCATATACATACGAATTATCTGGAGAAGATAACACCACCTTAACCACACCAAAGAGAGATAAACAAGAAAACCATCCCTCACATCTCTTTGTTTTTTTTTTTCCATTTACTTTCTTTAACGAAATTATTTCAAACTTATCAGCTTGAAGTTGTAATGGTGCGTGTAAGAAAGAAGTGTGAGCGTAACTTTGTATATGAATGCGCGTTTAGTTTATCATTTATTTCATGTTAAGAAATTTATTAATTTTTTTTTTTTTAGCATTTAATGCCATATGACTTAATTCGTGTGGCCGAGTAAATGTGTACGTAAAAATATGACTGCGTGTGTATATGTGTATACGTGCAGACATATGATATGATTTTCACTCACACCCTCTTTTTTTTTTTTGTCAAAGTAACTCTTAAACAACAACAATAATAATAACATCAATAAAGAAATATGTAAAGACGAGTAATGCAATTTATATGAATTGTTCATTTTGCTGCTGATTGTTACAAAAGATTAACAACAACAACAACAATAATAATAATAATAATGACAACAACAACAATAGTACAACAAAGCAGAAAGAATAAATAGATAGATTGAAATTTCTGTTACTCTCACTCATTATTTGTTGGTGTACTTGTGATTTATTATCACTTAAATGGAATTTAAATTAAATACTTGCACACAAATACTTGCATATATACACTCATATATATATATACATATATTTATATTTATACGCATAAGCGTATACTATCCGTGTAAATTTTGATGGATGATTGCTATTTGTTTTACTTTGTTGTTCCTTTCTTTTTAATATAAATATAAAAATGTATTCCTTATAAATTATTATATTAAATGGAAAATTTGTTTAAAGAAAAGCCAAAATATCATTAAAAAGTGTTTACTCAGCTTTAAGCTTTAAAAGTGATTTCATCGTGAAATATTATTATCAAAGCAAAAACTTCTTCTAGATATAAAGGATATTAAACGGTCTAAAGTTTTGGCGCTTGAACAATTGGGAAATTCATATAAGAAGAGGTAAGTTGATCAATTTTCTCTTGTAAACTCAAGAAGTCATTATTCATTTCTTAAAGGACTATTTAGTTACTTAAATATTTACTAATTTAAACTATGATAATAGTTAGCAACAACGGAGGCAAGTTTCGTTAATTTGATATATTGTTGTTTATGAGAATTTGAGTTTGCGGAATATAAATACTTTTTAGCCAAACAGATGCTTAAATAAACTTATGGAAATCGACCTTTTCCTCAAAATTTTCGCAGATCTTGTAGAGAAGCGTAGTTATGAGCGTAGAAGATATTTTTATAAAGTTCAATATATTTTTCCTCAATTCTAAGATATGCTTTTGAAGCGATAGCTGGAAGCAATGAGAAATTTTCAGTTTCTTCGAAATAATTTCGATTATTTATTTATTATTATTATTTTTTTTTTGAATAAAAGTTTTAATAATTGTTAAAGTTTTTGTGAAAGAATCAATTTCCGATAAAAACTTTCAATAATTTTTAAGCTTCTAAGGATGAGGGGTGAATTTATTTCGGCAAAACGTTTGCAACACCGAGAACGAGACGTCAGAGACCGCTTACAGTAGGTGCTTTCTTGAACGGCACCAAGACATCCGTCCATCCGTCTAGTGTGTGTTTTTGTAATGCTTGCGAAAAAACTTTCTCCTGAGCGGCAAAAGGGCATTAATCAGCTTCACACTTAGTACAAAGATTGGCGTTTTTCCACGCAAATTGATAGGTAAATTGGTGAAATAACACGGCCGCAGTACAACATAGCCAGAGGTCATCTCTGCTTTTAAAACTAAAAAAAAAAATTTGGTTTTTTGCTATTTACTTATAAATCACAAGAGATACAACAATAACAATTTTCATTTAGATTCTATAGTTCTGCAGCAATTATGGCCACGCCTCCTAAATATTATAGAATATTAATTTCTCATTCCTTTACTAAAACAGATTAGAGATTATAAAAGGCGTACATATTACTGGTAAATATGAAACGATGATGTGTACAAAAGATTCGGGGCGACTGAATATAGTTTTCTTACCCGTTTAAAATGATTACATCTTTTTTTTTTTTAATTTTTGGGTTTAGAAATTTGTTTGAAGAAAAATCATGACCACTTTTCAACTTGATTTACGAGAATACTTGTCGAGATGCAGATATTTATAGTAGTTGTTATATCTTTGAGGATATCAAAAATTAACGGACTTGCGGACGGACATTATTAAATCAATTATATATTTATAGTGTTAAAATAAATTTTTATATAATATATTATAACAAAATATATGCGTTTGCAGTAAGCAAATAAAAGCAGTTTTATAAAGTCGCGCATATAACACCCCCTTCTTTATCATCATATTTTTTATTACCACTTAACCCTTTCTTTTTTTAAAATAAACTTAAGTAACTCTCACAATTTATGAAAAAGAGTAGTCATAAACTCACAAACTGCAATGGAAAAGTTACATGCGTTCGGAGAGAATTGAAAAAACCTCAGTTTATGTAGGAAAATAAATCAAATGAATAATAAAATGATAATAAAAAATACAAGCAAAATACATTAAAAATCAATATAAATAAAATATTAGAAAAATAAATTATTTTTTTTTTTTTTTTTTTTTTTTTGTTCTTAAATAAAATATATAACTAATCCAATAAAGCAAAAACTGAAATAAAATGGTATAATAAAAAATAATCAAGATCCAACATCCGTAGTTCATTCATTATTAAATATACATTAGTTGGAGGAAAAAAAAAAGCAAAAATAACTCTAAACCTTTAGGGAAAGTCAAAATTAATTTTATTTTATTCATTGAGTTCATTCGCATATGTACGCACATTAGGTATTAACTATTATTTATTAGATGTAATGTTTTCTAAAGTACGCATGAAGGAAACATGACGGCTATGCTTTTAGCTGCTGCGAACGTTAAGTGCCTATGTGTTACTGTATATAGAAAAGAAAAATAATTATGATGCTTCAATTATCAGGTTGTTTGGCCAATCGTTCACTAAGACTCACCCTTCCCAAAAATTACAACATTTCCTGCTAGTACTAGAGTACTAGCAGTCATCAACATACAGAAATTCATAGATCACTCTTTAGAGACTCTTTCTTTCTCTTATGGTCTTCTTCTTTCTAATATTAGTAGCGTGAACTCTAAGATTGCTTCGCAACGTTCGAAAATCTTTCCTTTAATATTATTTGTCTGATTGCCTCTTAGTGGTTTCTATTAAGTTTCCTGTCTACTTGACACTTGGGATAATTTGCATTATATGAATACGTATGCAGAACCTTACACACATTATGTGCATTGTGCGCTTTACACCGTAGCAATAATGGAATGAGATGATTATGTTTGAAATGCTTACACACATTTTGATTGAAAGATTACGCAAAAGAGTTATAATGCTGTTAAGGATAGTTGAATACATTTCATTTGATATATAACAGATAATTGCTAACCGATATTTCGAAATGACATCATTCCCTTATCTGAGTTTTTTAGTTAAATGTTCTTATCTTCAATGTTCATACGCCAGTATAAGTCATCTTCCTTCAGCGTATACGATGAAGTTTTTTGGAGTGTCTAACAAGTGAGTAACTCAAAGCAAAGTGTTTGCTGCTGAATCGTGACAGATGAAGGAAGATGAGTGCATTGGAATAATGCAGAACCCTGGGAGAACGTTATAATACTTTCAGTAATTAGCCGAATGAAAGAATTTTGTGCTCGAATTAAGATCGCAAATAGAACCGACGGAGAACCGACCATAATGCCGAACTATAGCGGGATCGTAAAATACTTTTTACCGATTTCTTGAAAGAAGCGATTAGGAGTTATTTCTAAATCTACACCAAGGAAAGTAGAATATATTCGCCTTAAGATCGCCAATCACTATAACTCAGAATCATAGGAGAACCATAGAGCACTTTTGAGCCTTTTCCCGAAGCAAGCGTCTTTTTTTTGATCAAAAAGCCGACGAAGAATTTCTCCCGTCCCTAATATTTTACACAACCAAGCCAATAAAAGAGAGCTGTATTCGAGTTAAGAAGAGCCCTCAATATTTATCGTAAACGATCAATAAAAAAACTTCCAAAGCATTAATTGTGCGGTCAGCCAGACCGTCAATGGTACAGCAAACTTCTCTGCGGCTCTTCGAGGTTAGTTGCGCCCTTTTCTTGACCGATTTTTCACGTGTAGATGATAGAGTTTTAAATCTTTGTTCGTTACACATTGCAGGTAATAGTTCTTTGCCTGTTGGGGGCATGACACGGCCTTTTTTAAGCAGTGGTCAGGTCAGATCATAAATTCTCATTTAAACTGTTACGATCGGTTGCTTCCCAAACTCAGGCGCTAAATAGATACTTATATATAGATCAGGTCCCCTTGAAAATTGACGCTGATGATGAATCTATATATAGTGTACGTTGTGTAGTTCCTGACGCTTGTGTACTACTGACGTTAATGGTTATTATAAGCAGAAACAGTAAAGAACAGGTATTGAAAGGCAAGATGTAGACCCAAGAACAGATGATTTAAGCTACTATCTGTTCCATTCTTACCTTCTTTAATGATTTCCAAATTAGTTTCGCCTGTAATTTTGATAGATACAATGCTACACTTTTCATGATTCAAATTTTTTTGCTATCAAGGCTTTATGTACCCTTTGTCGTTTTCTAACTTGACTTACTTTACAAAGGCAAGATAGATTTGTACTGTTTACTGTTCTTATCTCATCTCAATGCTAATGAAGTAAACCTTACGTAATTCTCATAGGATATAATGATTGTGTAGTTTGTTACTTAGATTAGTTTATGACCATTACATTGAAATTTCGTAGAATGTTTACGTAAAGTAAAATGCAAAATCCTGCTAATAACATAGCGGTCGATAATTTCCGGAACTGTAGATGTAGACTTCCGCAAATGTTACTCTCATGCAGTCCCCGTAAACATTTCATAACATTTCGCTTATTTATTTACGAGTTACAAAAAGTCTAGAGCGTCGATTAAATATTTGTTCAGTGATGGAAAAAGATATTGCTGAAAGTGAGTAGCGGAGAGACAAGTTTAATGCAATATTTCTTCGTCGAAGCAAATATTCGTCGTAGGCTCATTTTGAGCGCAGGGGCTCCAATGATGCCGAACAGTGGACGCGGAAAGAGTTTCTTACTCAAAAAATATGAAGAAAATCCTGAAAGTGATGTTGCAAGAGGCAACTGACATCCTTGCACTTCTTTACATGGAAATTGCGACATTGAAAAGCCTTTTTTTTTTATTTGGCCGCGCTCATATATAGTCGAACCTGAACTCGAACCTGAATCCAATCTTGAACGCGCTAAATGGCGTGGACAGATTGTAAGCTTTGTATAAAGAACGAGAACACAACATTCGCTTGCAAGGTCGTCCACGTATTTTGTGATGCGCAAGACATTCTATTCATCTACTGCTCTGAAAGGGGGAAAATGATGAATAACAAAGACTGCGTCAAGGTCAGTCAGTTTGAATTGTTGTCACACCAAACCTTTTCCCCCAATTCTAGTCCTGAGCGATCGTTGTCTGTTTGCAAAGCAGACAAGTGGAAAAAGACTTTGTTTAAATGACAACGAGTTCACTATGGACACTGAAGTATCTTTTAAGAATGGGTATTCATTGCTTGACTTTTGAAGTAAACTATTTTGCTGAATAAAATCGAATTTCACAAAAAAGGAAAGAAAAATTTTTTACCTAGTCCTGGGACTTATTGATCGTTATAATATGCAAATACTTCCCCCTTTGCAAGTACGTATTAATGTTAGCACTTTCATCAATTCGCTCTCATTTAGGACTCAAAGTAATTATAATTTATTACTCTCTATATATGTAAAAATCATATAAATCATTAAACCGTAAAAAACTGATTAAAATGCATTTTACATCTGTTTTTTTGATAAGAGCAAAACCAATAATCACTTTTATCATTTATTGAGAATATTTTTAACAGCATTTGATACGCTGAGTAAAATA